GTTATTTCTTCTATTTTCTCTTGCTTTTGTGTCTGTTCGATGGTGGTGTTTTCAGGTCTCCAGGAGTTCTGTATCGTTTGCGAGATTGGAGCATTCGAGGATTGAGTTTCTAGCTCCAGATAGACCCGAGGGACGCTAGCCGAGACCGCGTGAGCCCAAGTCGAGGAATTTTTGGAGCAGTCCAGGCCATAGCGCCGCTATGACCATAGCGCCGCTATGGCCTGTTGAGAAAGCGGCGCTGGACACAATAGCGAGGGGCAGAAGGGCAGCATTTTCAACCATAGCGGCGCTATGGTCATAGCGCCGCTATGCCCCATTTTGTAACTGAAGCTATTTTCTCGGAATTTCGAATTGGGGAGGCTTAAGGATCGCGTTTTCTTCATTATTGAACATTAGATCGGGTTTTTCATAGTTTATCACCCTAGAACTCATTTTTCTTCTTACTTTGATCTTGGATTTGATCTTGGATCATAAAAACTCCAATTTTCGCTCGGATTTCGGTTGTTCGTTGCTTTCTCTTGACATTGGATTTGTTATTAATCGTAAGCATCTCTTTTCATTTTGATTATGAATATGATGTTTGGTTTGATTATGAGTTCTTGTGTTAAAATTGCAATGAGTAGCTAAATCCATTAGCTAGGGTTAGGGGATAATCGTTCCGGTTCGATTTCGTTTATGTGTTGATTAATTGCTCTTTCTTTTCGAGTTGTGCTTAACTTAGGGTTTAGATGTTTGATCACCATCTCAATCTAATTAATCGATTTTGAAACCGAAAGGGTAGAAATCGTTCGACCTAAGCTCGTTAAGAATAGACTTGTTCGGTGACGTATTGTCTATATGCTAATTGATTCGTGATTGATTTGTTTACGTTTATTCTCTTGTTTCGTGAGATATTGAGATTGAACCTCTAGATAAGTTAATCCTCAGTCTTTTGGTTGAGTAGTTGATTGATCGTAAATTGTTTTGAGAACCGGAAGCGATATCCCCGATACCCTAGCCCCTTTATCATTATTTGAGTTGAAACTTTAAATTGCAAGTTTGAGATTGTTAGTTTGTTCTTATTATTCGTAGTTGATAATCAAAAACCCCAAATTTGAATTAGAATGTTTAGGACTTGTTTCTTATTTTCGTGTGTTGAATAACCGTGCAAAATAATCCGGCTAACCTTCCTTGTGACACGACCCGGTGTCGAATCTTTGGGTTCTACTCCGGTTAAAAATATTTACAACAAACAGCCAAGAGATTACCATAAAATCTACCTTCTCATATTGGTCGAACTCTTCAGTGTTTGGTTCAGGTATCACCATTGCTCCATTTATGAAGCCAAGCTTCGATTTCGCCCCCAGCGCAAGTCTCATAGCTCTGCTCCAGTGCAAATAATTATTACCGGTGAGTTGATTTGTGACCAAGATCAGCCCTGGGTGATCAGATCCATGAAGCGACAGTGGATCTGTGTCTCTCGAATAGCTCCGCACAATCTCTCTTCCTGAATCATCTTTGTTTCTCGCCATGATCGATTAATTAACCTGCTCTAGATACCATGTAGATTTGAGTAAAATTATGTAAATGGAAGGAAGAAATTTCTCAGAACATATTTTTCACCATTAATGGAGCTCTGAGCTCAGGGAAAATATCTGACCAATTCACACACATCTCGTGAGAGAGAGAAAGACTAATACGTGCATGTGAAAACAAAAGAAAAACCCTAACCAATTGATGCTTGACATGTAGCAGATAAGTATAGTAACAAAAACAAAGAAAGAAACGCTAACGCGCTTCTATTAGTAAAAGCAACAACAATATAAAAAAAAAAAAAGATAAAAGAAAACATGAAAAATGATAAGTGTCTTCAAATAACTCCATAATGCATGGCAGCAGCACGTGCATAAGCTTGCTAGCTCAACATATATTATTTTTACTTTATAACAATACATTAAATAGTAATAATTATTTATATGTAAATTTTATACATTAAAATTTTAATAATATTGTAATTAATTTATAGTAAATATTTATCACGTAAATATATTATACATAATTTTATTTTTAAAAAATAAAATAGAAATATATTTATTGGAAGGGACAAACAGAGTTGACCTGAGTGGGTCAATATCTAGAGGGCCTACGGACGGGGCTCTGATAATGCAAGAAAGAAGCATGCTCGAGCTGAAAAAAAAAAGGGGGGGGAAGAGGTCGGATTGCAACTAGATAACCTATTATAAGCTTCAGATCATAGAACGTTAAAGTACTACATGTCCCTGACAACGATGCGACTTTATTTCATGGGCGAAGGTTTTTCTAATCTTCGAGTGGCCTTTCGACTTTTGGAGCACACATAAAACAATAAATATATGAATTATCAAATCCCCCCATAATTAAATGATGCTTGCATCAAGTCAAATTAATCATTTCATCCTAATGTAAAAAGCGTACAAATGAGAATGATAAACGAGAAACTCTTTCGTAAAACTCACAATATCTGATTCAATCTCAAAATTCACCAAGTAACAACAAAGCAGGAGAGTCAGATA